GGTTCGCTGTCAACACCGACTTCGTTTGGGAACTCGCCCCTCGTTTTGGTGCCATGGTCATCTACCCCGAAGTAAAAGCCCTAATCACTCTACTCTATATTAATTTGTTCACTTGCCGACCTTTAATAATACAATTTTATCAAAAGCTGCGTGGTTTGATCTAGCATCGATATTATGGTGAATCGATGCCATATGGAAGCCACAAAGAGGCATACAAGAATGCTTCTACTTTAGCCTATCTAATAGCCGAACAAGCACTTGCTGATTACGCTCTTCTCATCACCGATTTGAAGAAAAATTTATCAGCCGAAGCATCACCTGTAATCTTGTTCGGCTGATCATATGGTGGAAGTAAGATCTTTTCCAACAATTTCAACAAAAATTAAACAAGCACTTGCTGATTACGCTCATCTCATCCCATTTATCTGAAGTACCTGGTTACCACAATGTTTTAGTTGAACACATGTGTATTTTGTTGGTATTCTGTGTACAAATAGTAACATTAATGGTATTTTTTGTACTAAAAAAACAACAATGGTATTTTTTGAACATTTGAAAACCGGATAACCTACAATAGCCGGTAAAATGGTATTTTATGTAAAAAAAACAATAATGGTCTTTTTTGTACACTTTTGAAACTTCGTTATCTTTTTAAGTTATTATCACAAACATTAAAAAGGAAAAAAAAGGAATATTGCGCCGACTATTCAAAAGAGTGCGAGAGAAAAGATAATACTAAAAATTTAGTAGCTCTTTTTACGTTCCCTAATTTTTTTTTGGAAACTTTACATTCCTTAATAATCAACAAAAGACAAAAAAGTTAACAACCTTATAACACCCCCACCCCATGCTACATATGCTTCGATTCACTGCTGTTGCACTACACCTGCGTACCCCACTGCATCTCCAAGCACTCCTTGTTGCTCCATCTGCACACAACCCCTGAAACAAGTCAGACCTTCATTCTGCTTTAACAAAACCAAATGAATAATAAATTAATTACTTGAAAAAGTTCATGCAGCTTGTTCTTCGGATAACAATATTAGTGACATCACCTTTAAGAAATAAAGGACTTGACGTTCAATTTATCATATACATTCATGTAACAAAAATGAACAATATCACACATTTATCAACAATAATACTTAAAATCTTCAATTTGTTAACTCCTAATTAAGCATTTCATTTGAAATAAAACCATCAAACCAACGTCGATAGACAAATACTTGTGTCTAGATATGTAAGTATATGTGTGTCTCTATATATAGAGAGAGTTGATTTAACATTAACTACTAATATACTATTATTGTATGAAAAATTATGGACGTGTTTGGCACGGAGCTTTTGGAAACGTTTGGGAGCTTCTAGCTTTTAGCTTTTGACAAAACGCTCTAGTTTAAACAAAAAGCTTCGTTTGACAGTACGAGCGTTTAGCTTTTAGTTTTAACAAAACGCTCCGATTCTAAAAGCTACTTCATGTAGCTTTTAACAAAACGCTCCGGAGCTTTTGAAATCAATTTCCATAATTACCCTTAAAAATATATTTATATATATTTTTTATTTTTAGTAAATTGTCCTTTTATGTAATTTTATATATTTCAAAAGGTTCCAGCTACTTTTGTCAAACATTCATATAACAAATAAAAGCTACAGCTTCCCGCTACCAGCTACCAGTTACACGCTACCAGCTACCCGCTACCAGCTAATCGCTACCCGCTTCCAGCTAACAGCTACTTTTGCCAAACACACCCTATGTCTGCTAGCTTTTTTATATATCTTACGTAAAGTAAGCACTTCGTCTTGTTTAAATACATTATTTTCATTTTTTTAATGTCTAGTACTCCCTATTTCACTTATATATCTATATTTTTCGTTTTAAAAGATACTTAAACATTCAAGTTTTGACTAAAATGTTTTTTTTTATAATTGATACTACAAAACAAAAAGCACATAAAACTATAAACAAACAAAATTTATATTAACAAAGGAAATGCATATATGTTTCAGTAAAAAAAGTTTTGTGGGGATTATTTAATAGTTTTCATTTGGCATGGCAAGAAGCAATTGGGAAATTTTGTATTTTTTTAATTGACCCATGCTTGCTTAATCTAGGCATCACCTTATCTCCTTATTTTTAAATTACTTGGTTTCCTTAATTTTCACTTTAAGCATTGATTCAACAAAAAGTTTGTCACAAAAGTTTCAAGCATAAGTGCATTACCACAAAAAGTAATATTTAATATGTACACATCTATATGATTAATTCAATTTTCTCGATAATTACTAATATGATGTCATTAGCTCATCATTCATATATATATATATATATATATATATATATATATATATATATATATATATATATATATATATATATATATATATATATATATATATATATATAAGTGGTCAATCGAAAAAAATATTAAAATACCCTAATAAAATTCAAACTCTAGTTTCTAGAAAAAAAAAACTAATCATACCAAACTTGTTATATTTTAATTCTTTATAAACTAGGGTGATATTATGTATGTTTTGTGGATGGTGTAATCTGCAAATTTTTTATTAGGCAGAGATTATTTTGTAATTTTTTTAAGCTTGTGGACAATTTCTATGAAAAAATATGTATACGGACATTTCTTGTAAATTACATGAACAATTTTTTAATTTAATTTTTATATAAAGATCATACCTACCAATATACGAAAATCTTAAACAAATGCACATTTTCGGTAGAATAAAATAATATGAAAATGGATCTTTTATGTAAATTACAGGCTCGTTCTCATAATTGATTTTCTATATAGGGATTAAACCTTTTTTTTAATTCTATTATTAGGAAGAGACGTTTATGTAATTTTTTTTAGCATATGCACCATTCTTCTAAATATAATTCTACATGGCACCTATTCTATAAATAGGGACCGTTCTTATAATTTATTATCTATATATGGACTAAACATGTCAAGTATGCAAACATGCCAATATACAAAAGGTAAAGAGATAGCAAGTATTAGCGTGGAATTGATACGGTGCCGATTTTTTTTTCTAAACCGTGTACCGTACCAATTATAGTTGGTATACAAAATTTTCTACTAGAATTTTACCAATTATATTTGGTATCAATATGTTTTTCGCTACCAACAATTTTGGTTGGTACAAATTGATAATGGTATATACCAATTTTTAATCTTTTATTATAAGATTTATCAAAAACATCGGGTAATTTTAACATTTAGTAAATAAATTTGTTTAATAAACAAATTAGTTTCATAGCTTTTTTAGTTTACAAAAAAATTCTATTGAAATAAAGCACTCATATCGATATGATTTTTAATGTAAAATTGAATCTTTTAATTTTTTTCATTTCATCTTTAGAAATACGTTTTGTTCAGATGTGAATAAGTCGTTTAGCAAATTTATAATGAAACTTATTATTTATTCAAATGTGAAAAAAGTCATTAATATACACGTTTATTCACACATACATAAATAAATAGTTTAACATCAATCGGATACACAATTCATGGTGGCATAAGCCAAAGGGATGCCAATGCCATGGGCATGGGCCACACAGTAAGCCTGCTATGTTGACAAGTGGTTTCGGACGACACTGAAGGTTGCTGAGAACGGCGAATGTCGATGTTTGTTGGGCAACATTTGTCAACTGGCGGGCCTCTGAGTTTGGGTGATTGTCGAGTGCCGATTGGTGTCGTGTCTTGGCTACAAAGATGACCTGGTGTGAGCACGTCTGGATGGTTTTACTGAATGATAAAAATATCAATTTTATCTTGGATGGTTTTATATTTATTTATTTATTTATCTTCCTGTTAAAAAAAATAATATACCAACAAACCATCAAAGTATTTAAGAAATTCATACATGCTAAATGAATAGACGTACAACTATCGTATTAACATTTGACAAACACAAAAATACCCTTGTATAGATCGATTTCAAGGAAACAATTTGATTTAGGAAACAAACCGATTTCAAGCACATAATTCAACTTAGAAAACCATTGTAAACCATTCCATACCGGAAGAAGAAAAAGAAAAACGGTAAAACCATAATAATTTCCACCGATTGAACCCAGAAGGATTGAACACAAATGGTGCCATAATCCATGAAACCACAAGGATTTGATGAGACTGAACTGAGAGATAGTTTCGATTGTAAAAATGAAAAACTCCATGATAATGAATTTGGTCTTTTGTGATGGCGTCGATGGTGAGGACAAGCACATACCAGTGGGTGTTCTCGTCGGAGGGATGGTTAAAATTGAAGGGAGTCGATGGTGAATGGCATCGATGAAACGCCGGTGGCTCTGCCGGGGGAAAACGGTGGAAGCGCCAACGGGAGTGGCCGATTGAAGGGATTAATTAAGGCGAAGGAAGAACCACCGTTGGAGAAGTGCAAGTGAGTCTATTTTTTAATTCAGCGATAGATCTGTAACGAATAAGTGCCTTTTCAGAGGCAAATGTTTTATCCAGATGTAAAACAATACTCAACCAAACGCTCGGTTGAAGTATTCAGATTCAGAGCCATTAAGAGTCTATGAAATAGCCTTGAAATTAATAAATTGGATCCGATTTCTTTCATTAATGGGTTGTACGTGAGGGGTCTTACTAAAAAAAAACAAACAATATTAATATGCTTCTGTTTTACAACTAACAACATAGATAAAAAAAAATTATGAATTTATGATGCATGTATTTGAAGAGGATCTTTAATAAAACTAGAACAATTGATAGAATCATACCCATAAATTGTACAATCAATACACCCATTATGAAAAATACTAAATATAGAGCTTTGAGATTCCAAAGTCTTACCCATGAGCAAATTAAAACCACAAACAAAATCATATCTCACTATTAAGATAATATCCATGTACTTATCGTTATTTAATGATAAATTTTCAACAACTATATATATCTTGAGATGTAAAAGCATTAGATGCGTATGATTCAAAGGGAAACAACATTAAAAGGATTCAATCACTTGAGCTTCTTAACAGAAGTGAACGATTTCTTTAGTTTGTGAGCTTCACTCGGCAGTTTAACATTGGTTGCCAATCCTAATGCTTCAAGAAACCTTATCATATACCAACAGAAATCAATTTGCCACCATTCTAGCCCATGTCGAGCTGAATATTCAAATGCATGATGATTGTTATGCCATCCTTCTCCAAAAGTAACCAATGCCACCCACCTATATATATTTGTTCATATTAAATATTAAACATTTCAAAATGAACCAATTGAGTTGTAATCATTTTGATGTTTAAGTTGTGTGTACCAGTTATTCTTTGAAAGATCACCAGTGTCCCAAGTTTGATTCCCCCATATGTGACAAGCTGAGTTCACTAGAAATGTCACGTGATAACCCCACGTTGGTACGACACCCTACATTTATGATCATGATTCAATAACATTGAACCTTAACACAATAACTTGTATTTTTCATTTTTTTAATGTATTTGAAGAAAAATATCTGAGCAAAGTTTTACCACAAGCCAAACAAGATAGGTAAATCCACCAAAAGCATAAACAAGGGCCGCATATGTGGATATATGCAATACATAAGTTCGTTGAATGAACTTATAATACGCTTGACTCTTTAAATCTTCTACATTCTTACGTTCTTGATACTGCAAAATATTATATCACCCACACAAACAAGAAAAATTAGCCAAAAAACTTTCTTTTGCCAATATAAGTATACAAAATACGTACCTTTTCAATTATGTAGCCGCTGTCAAATAGCCAACCCATATGACTAAACCAAAACCCAAAGGTGGGAGAGTGTGGGTCTTTCTCGGATTCAACGTATTGATGGTGATATCGATGAATGCTCACCCAAAATATTGGATCCCTCTATATACATAAACAACATAGCTTCCTTTGAGGGTGTGAATAACTAAAGAGAGCATGCGTGAAGAGTGAAGACTTAAGAATGAGAAAAAAACAAACCTGGAAAGATAGGACTCCGAAATAAGCAAAGATGTATTCAAGCCACTTAGGCAGCTTGAAACTATGGTGTGCTAGATTACGATGATACGAGAGAGTTACACCAAAAATCCCACACAACACATACATTAAAAATGCAGTCCAAAAAGCATCCCAAGTGAATGTAAATGGGGCAAACAGCGCAAGTATGTGAATTGATAAGATTCCAACAGCCATTTTAACATCGAGGGTCCTCCATTTACGTCCCCAGAAGAGGTTTCTCTTCCTTGTAACAACTACATCTGAAAGCAGTATTTTACCATATTCCGGCTCTTTCACACCAGTGGGAAATGAGACCATATTTTTCTTATAAGTGAAAGCTGATCAAAACGAGCGTAGGATGTTTGGCTGATTTATGCATGAAGTGCTGGTATTTATAAGGAAACAATGGTTCAAGACTTCATGGGATTATGGCAAGGTTGTTGAGATGCATGTAATGAAGTCTAGTTTGTTTTTCATTAGTTGATGGGAGACTTTAATTGCTTTTGTTTTTAGAAAACTGAATTAATTTTTATTATAACTGCAGCAACACAAAATATTATTCTAAAAACTATGTATTACAAAACTATTTGTATTTTTAATTAGCTGGTTATCAAGATTCTAATTTTTTAATATATATTAAGTCACATAAAATGACTGATGTATTTCAGAGTAGGCAGTATTGACTATAGATGTAGTTATGGCTCAATAAAGCACTTAAGAATATTATTTTAGTTCCCAACAAATTGACTATCTACATAGATTACAACTCTTTAAGTAGTAAAATTTTAATTAATAAGTCAATATGAAAGAAAAAAGCTTAAAACAATAAAACCGTAAACTTAATGCACATAATATAAACTTTTAATGGTTTTATCAAAGCCTGCTGTTTTAACAGAAATACGTCCGATCAACATCGCTCGAAAAATAATAATTATAACGAATTTAAGATATATAAAAACAAAAATCGTACTTCTCCTTGATCCTTATTATATTGTTCTTTTGACATCTCGTATTTCTCTTTGATCAACAGTTATATTAAAATTTTACTGATATACATGTAATATTCCAACATACTATAAAGAGAGGACCATATATTTTAGTTATTTCTTTAATTAAGGGTGTAAACGGGCCGAACCTCAGAATGACTACCTCGTACTCAGACTCGGTTCGTTTAAAATCCATGGGGCTTGCACTCAAGCCCAGCTCGTTTCAAGCTTAATTTTTAAAGCTCGAGTTTGGCTCACAGAAGATTTAAAATGCTCAAGCTCGGTTTGGACTCAACTCGTTTGTCAAGCGAGCCTAAACAAGTCTAAGCTCGCCTCCTGCTAGGCTCACTTAATACTCAAATATCAAGCTCGTTTGTGTTTTTAAGCTCGTTAATCATTATTTGACATTTAATATTTAATATTTATAAATTTATTTATAATTTAATATATGAAATTAAAAATAAAAATTATATCGTAATATGCATATGTTTGTTTGAGCTCATGAGCCTAATTGGACTCGGCATATGAAGCACGGGCTCGAGCTCATTTAATAAGCCTCAAACTAAACTCAAGTTCGGCTCGAGCTTGAGTCGAACTTTTTACAAGTCGATCCGTTTAGTCGTTTACATCCCTATTTCTTTATACAGAAAATTAAAGTTAGTAATATCTAAGGTTTTCTGCAAAACCATTTTTACCTTTAATTTAATAGGATTTGTTTATATATGATGATAACCATTCATAACATGGTAAAACAAAATGTAAATGAGCTTTATTATTATTAATATGGATAGTATTGTTTTTGCAACACCTCAAAATTTAGACCGATATTTTTCATTTTTAGTCCGAAAATTAAGGTTTTACAAGACGAGTTATCAAATACATAATTATCCCAAAACCACCAGTATCACAAAATATCAGAGTTCACAATTTTCCCAGTAGCAAATCTCCCAACGAGTGTGTACAATCAGACATTCGCCTTCGCGCGGTCCTCAGAAGTATCTGCCACATATAAATCAACAACCGTAAGCACGAAGCTTAGCAAGTTCCCCGAGATACCACATACAACAAAGAATAAATAAACAACTATGAGTTATCAGCAACCCTGGGGACTATTAACAGTCCCAATGGGATAACAGCACGCCTTGTGGGTTATCAACAACCCCGAAGACTATTAGCAATCTCATTCACATAATGACATCATAACATAATAATAATAGCTAGACTCAGCTGGTCATCACATATACAACTATTCTACCATACAAGTAAGAATAAGTGAGGAGACTCACCTAATACTGACGACAAGTAAACCTCACATCCGAACTGCCCGAACTAGAATCCTCCTAATTAACAAAATAATTAACCGTAAATAATAATTAAGGTCCAAAACTCAACTCGCTAGTCGAATCCCACAACTAAGTCCTCTAAAGGAAAAAAAAACTATTTTTCCTATCCCATGGTCCAAAACCCTAAATCTTGACCAAAGGTCAAAAGTCACCTGCACCGTAAGTACGTTGGGCGTACCTTTTCTTATGAGGGGCGTACAACTCGAACAACGTATGGTCGAGGTCAGAACCGGCTACGCGGGGCGTAGCCAGGAGTACCCACAACATACTCCATCTGCTTCCACTTTCACCAACTTTATGTCTTAATCCCTTAAGACAACTAACCCAACCACAAATCTGACCATTCTAAGATGTCTTATTCCATAAAGTCATCGAATTTAAGCCTTTGCATGGCTAGAAAAGTCCCAATGCAACAAACTTAAACTTCCAATACTTTCTAAGCTACTTTGCTCATGTCCGAGCCATATAAATTGATCAAACAATCGTTTTTATGATTCTACAAGTCCTATAAGCCCCAGGATTGCTCCAAACTCATAAAGGTCCAATATTAGGGATAAAAGTTCATAAAACTTCAACCATATATATCTAATGGAAAGCGTATTAAGGTATAAACTTTATACCTGAAAATGATGCACAAAGATGAAAGGTTTATGGATCTACAAGCTTGCTATCACCCACTCCTTCTTCTCCAGTCTCCCTCTTCAACTAAGGGAGGGTATGATGGCTGATAAGGATGATCAAATGGAGACATATTGTAGTTTAAATAGGGAGTAACCCTTAAGATTAGGGTTTGAAGTCTGGGTGAGTACGCCCGACGTACCATACAAACTCTCTCTCTCTCTCTCTCAATAGAATCAGACTTCCCTTTGGAAGTCATCCTCAGGATATTGCTCAGGATATTCCTTGTGCATCTCGAACTCGGGTTCTCAAGTCCACCCCGAGCCTTTACGGTGTTGCTACTGAACCTTGACCAAGTTCACTACCTTGTTCCTCAAGGTCTTCACTTTCCGACCCATAATTGCCACAGGATTCTCAATGTAGTTTAGGCGATCATCGATCTGAATGTCTTCCAAAGGGACCACAACTGTCTCGTCAGCTATACACTTTCTCAGTTAGGAAGCATGGAATGTATCATGGATTTGACTCAACTCCTTCGGTAGCTTCAACCGGTAAGCCACCTTACCTACACGGGCTAAAACTAAAAAAGGGCCAATAAACCTAGGGCCCAGCCTGCCCCACTTCTTGAAGCGGATAACACCCTTTCAGGGTGATACCTTAAGAAGCACGAAATCCCCCCACTTAAAACTCTAGCTCAGAGTGTCGCCGATCCGCATAACTTCTTTGGCGGCTCTGAGCAGTCAACAATCTCTGTCTAACCTACTGTATAAGCTCAATCGTCTTGAGCATTAGATCTGTGCTCCCCATGACCCTCTGTCTAACCTCGCCCCAACAAATAGGATTCCGACATCTCTTTCCATATAGGAGCTCGAATGGAGGCATAATGATACTTGCATGATGGCTATTTGTTATAAGAAAACTCAGCCAACAGAAGATAGGAGTCCCAACTCCCACCAAAATCAATGATGCAAGCACGAAACATATCCTTGAGTGTTTGAATAGTCTGATCGTTCTGCCTGTCCGTCTGTGGATAATATGCAGTACTGAAATGTAGTCACGTCCCAAACTCCTTGTGAAATCTCTTCTAGAACCTGGAAGTAAAGTGAACATCCCAATCTGGCACAATAGACGTTAGCACTTCATGCCGATCCACCACCTCTCGAACATAAATCTTGGCTAACTTATTTGCAGAAGAGCTTTCACTAATGGCTAATAAGTGAGCATTGTTCGTCAAACAATCAATTATCACCTAGATAGTGTCAACACCCTTTGTAGTCCTCGGCAACTTTATAACAAAATCCATGGTGATATTCTCCCACTTCCATAGGGGAACCTCTAAAGGCTGCAACTTGCCATGAGGGCACTGATGCTTGGCCTTTACCTTCCAGCAGGTCAAACATCGCTTTACAAACCATGCCATGTCTTTCTTCATACATGACCACTAGTAGTTATGCTTTAGGTCGATATACATCTTGGTAGCCCGTGGATGGATGGAAAAGCTTGACTTATGGGCCTCCTCCATCAAAATCCGTCGGGCTCGACCTGCATACGGTACCCATACCCGCCCATGAAAAGTCAAAATCCCTCGGTTGTTAATATCAAAGGCTGAAATCTGGCTGATCACCTGTTCCCTTTTCCGTTTGTCTTCTTTTATGGCCTCTGACTGGGCTTCTTTTATAATCTCCAAGAATGGAGTCATCACAATCATCCTCAAGCACACATCCTGTATCGGGGCATTCTTCGCCCTCCGACTCAATGTGTCGGCCACCATATTAGCCTTGTCCGGGTGATACAAAATCTCACAGTCATAGTCTTTCACCACATCCATCCACCTCCTTTGCCTCATATTCAAGTTAGGTTGATCCTTAATATATCTAAGGATCTTATGGTCTGTGTAGATGGTACACCAAACACCATTAAGATAGTGACACTAAATCTTGAGGGTAAAAAACCACACCCCCCCCCCCCCCAATCCAAATCATGTTTGGGATACTTCGCTTCATGAGGCTTCAGCTGCCTCGAAGTGTATGATATCACATGCCCCCTCTGTATCAACATATCACCCAAACATGCAATGGATGCATCATAGTAGACTACAAATTCCTCAACTCCCTCAAGGAGGGCATTTACCGACGCCTCACACAATCTATGGCGAAGGGTCTCAAATCATGTTTGCTGCTCAGGGCCCCAACTAAAGGCAACATCCTTCCTTGTCAACCTGGTGAGAGGAACATAAATCTTGGAAAAGTCTCCAATGAATCTTCGATAATAACCCGCCAATATGAGGAAGCTCCAAATCTTAGACATTCGAATAAATTATTCTAGCTTAAATCCACAACTAGACAAGGAACAGGAAGAAAGACTAAATAAGGCATCCTAAGGCTATAAAATCCTAGCTATGTACAATTATAAAGCATAGACTAACTAAATAGTAATTATAGATTCAATCTCATAAGAATGAACTTCTAGGCTAAGGCATAAAAAATTAAGCAACATTACCACACTATTTCTGCCAGATTCCTTAGCCTATCACTAGCTAGCATGCAATTCTATCAGGTCATTATATATATA